ATGATATGATGTTGGTCATATATCTCTCATCCCTTATCCGAAGTGTGATTGCTCTACATAACTTGATCAACAACAAGGTGAGATATTATTGAATCACGCCTCAAAAGTTTTCAGTTTTACTGTCTGTCATCAGGTTCATAGTGGATATTCAGCCCCCGTTTGGTCCCCCATTGAAATTATAATTCATTTTTATATCTTTTTATCAACCACACATTCTCTAATAAAATAATATTACACATCAACTACAAGATCTATATAATTTTAGATCCCTGATGTTCATATTGAATATTCAGCCCCCGTTTGGTCCCCCATTGAAATTATAATTCGTTTCTCTCTTCTTATCAACCACACATTCTTCAATAAAATAATAGTACACATAAACCCAAGATTTTATCTTCCTTTTTAACCACACACACTTCCAAAAAAAAACACTATTCCAAAAATTATAATCTCAAATATTGGGGGCCAAATGAGGGCTCACTAATCTTTCTTGTGCTGGACTATATCTAATTATGTCAACAATTAACATATCAATTTAATGGTTATTGTTGGGGATATTAATGTTGAAGCAATGTAAGGATTTTTTATTGGAATTAATGATTAAGGTTATGAATCAACTGTAATGCGTCATAATCAGGATGAAATATTTGTTGACATGTCTAATTGCCTACTATAGCTTCAAAACTGAAAATAATATAAAATCCCACCACAACATGCTTCTAGAAACTAGTAAAACTAAGCATGCCAACCCACTGGGTTATATACTTTTTGACATGCTTCGTTGATTACACTATCATTGTGACTCGTCAAGAACCAGCAATTCGAGTGCACAATGCGCTAACTAAATTCAATGCACACAGCTGTGAGCCACAAAAAAGTGCATCTTTTTTCCTCACTAGAACCATAAATATAACTTTTGATTGTTATTCTTTTGCTTTAGTTTTGTGATTTTAATAATGCTAACTATGTTACTATATGTGCTGTCCCAACAAAGATTGTTTGCCTGAAATTATTAGTAATTTGTGACTTAAGACATTTTGAAAATGTGTTTACAGATGCTTAACAAAGAACATGAAAAGGCTGAAGATGCAAAGCCGGTTGCTGTGCCAACTGCTAATGGAAGCTAAGCGTGAAAATGTTTCCTTGAGAGTTGGCTTTTGTGTGTATTCTAGTTTGGTGGCAGAACTTGACATCAGAAATCGAGAGCCTTACGAACAAAGGCACATACATCCTTCACTCATGGATATCTTCTCAAAAGTTTCTTGTGATATTGTGGAACTTCGGCAAACGTCAGTCATTTGAAGTTAAACCTATATATGTAGAGAATATTTCCGTCTCCTCTATTACTTGGCTAGGAATTGAAGTCTAGCTTGCGCAAAAGATGCACGTCTTTGTAGACGAATGCTCTCAATTCAATTGCAATCATCTGAGTTATTAATTCATATTAGTGTGTGAAATGTGTTGCTTTCTATGAGAAGGTATGAGACCAAGATTGAGCATGGAACTTCACAATTTTTCTAGGTGTTCTCCTAAAGTAGACGATGAAGGAAATACAGTCCTATTGATCTTTTCTCCAAGTAATGCACGAGGAGAGAAACTGTTAAGGTTCAATCAATCTGATTTTGCAATGAACCATCCCATTTTATTGAAAAGTCACAAAACAATATTAGGAAATTCTTGAAAAAAGTGTGAAAATTCGATATAGGGAGTGTAGGAAAAGACAACACACGAGCAGGACCTTAGTGATTCGACAGTGTCAAGTGGAAGGGTTCTGCTCAACGGATAAAAGTGATTCTGGGGATATAAGAGGCCAATCTTTCCCAAGAGCTCTCATTGACGAGAAGGTTTAGCACCTTGATATCGGCTCTTCAACGCCTGATATTGTAATATGTTCCAAGGGTTAGGTTGTTCATCTATTAAAGCAGTATGTGAGTTGGAATGTTTGCTTGAATATAGCTACTCCCATTAAGCATTAAAAGGCATTTTTCACTCGTGAATTTGTTGTAGGATAATTGTTTCAATATCGAATA